GAGCACTTTTAACCACTGCACCAATTATTTTTCATAATAACTTTAAATCAAATTTACTTTGGAGAAAACCTGGAACAAGTCATACTGATTTCTCAGATGGCTATCTGACAATCTGAAAACTGTGTCACAAAGACTCAGGTAGTTTAACAAGCTCAGATTCTGAAATACCAGAATATTTGCAAGTACTATTTGCAACAATGAAACAGAATGACGAAACCGAGGCCCTCACCAGTCGCAAATCCAGTTGTTTTTCCTTCCCACTAAGTACCTTCCTTGCTTCTTCAACCTTTACATCAACCTCACTAAGATTTACTTTGAGAAATTCAACAAATGTTGATAAAGAGAATATCTACTAGTCTCCATAATCAACCACACCTACCTTAATGTTTCTATTCCAGTTTGTACATACTTTCACAATAGCACTTGATACATACTGCATTGTATTAGAGCCAGCTCTGTCTATCCTGGAGTCCCTGGGTGGTGCAAACGATTAATTTCTTGGCTACTAGCTGAAAGGTTGGCAGTTCAAATCCACCTAGAGGTGCCTCAAAAGAAAGGCCTGGTGATCTGCTTCAGAAAGGTCACAGCCATGAAAACCCTATGGAGCACAGTTCTCTAGAACACACGGGGTCACCACGAGTCAAAATCGACCTAACAGCAAGTGGTTTGGTTTTCAGTTTTTGTTATGGATTGAATTGTGTCCCCCTAAAACATGTATTGGAATTCTAATCTCCATCCTTGTGGATGTAATCCTGTGTGGGAATAGGGTTTCTCTGTTATGTTAAGGAGGTCATGTCAGTATAGGGTATGTCCTAAACCTAATCACTTCTGAGTTACAAGGAGCAGCACCGACAGAGACAAGGAAGCACAAACAAGGGAAGAGAGACGCCATGTGGACAAGGGACCAAGGAATACAGGGGCTCCAGAAGCTGAAGGAGACAAGGATCTTCCCTCAGAGCTGACAGAAGGAGAGCCTTCTCCTATAGCTGGTACTCTGAATTTGGACTTCTAGCCTCCTAACCTGTGAGAAAAGAAACTTCTGTTCTTTAAAGCCACCTACCTGTGATATTTCTGTTACAGCAGCACCAAGAAACTACGACACTTATCTATAAAGACTTTCTCCTCCCTTTGCCCATATGCTTCTTAAGAGTGAAGAACGTCTTATTTAATACAAGTAAATTCAACAAGTATTTATTGAGTGGCAGTAGTACTCAGCAATTGGAGGGATGGAAAAATCTCTGTAGTATTAAA